AAGTAGTAAGTAGTTACACAGAGGAAAAGGAAGAGAGTTCTTCAATTGAGCAGAAAAGAACCAGTCATCAAAGGAAATTCCTAATCTCAGATGAGTTAACTGCTCAAACAGTTGGAGCAGGCAGTTTCTTCACTGTTGCAAAATGCATCTAAAAATTGTTATAGCTCACCTACATGTTTAACACAAAAAAGCAGCCATAAGAAACAACACAACAAAAAAAACAAACAACAAAACACACCATGGATCAAATCCTGAAGCCAAAGTTATTCAGAAAGTTTACAGTTGAAATTAATGGCGACTCATTTCAGTTTCCAAAGAAACCTTCTGTTACCAATTTCTTTATTATCTACTCTTTCCACACCCAATGGCAAGAGGAAGAATTAAGTGACCTGTGAGCTTACACTGCTGTTACAAGTGGTTGGATAGGGATACAGGAAGAAAATAAACACATAGGTGATCACTCCTTCTGACTCTCCACTCCCAGAAATCATATTTTATTATTTGTGTCCTCCACTTTTAAGGCCTGTTCTAGAACTACATGAAAAAAAAATCCAAACCAACAACCAACAAAAATACTCAACAGTACAATATACTCCTAAATTTTGCATGGATCACAGGAAGGACACTTCCTCTTAGAAATGACTGAGCATGGCTAGGACATTTCAAACAGCTTCAGTGTTTTGTCAAGTGGTTCCTTTAATTGCATATCTAAACACAGATAGTTACTGTAGACAGCAAATGCCAACACTCCTATAGTATCTACGCCCTTATCATAGCTGATATGATTTATACATAAGCTATGATTTTCAAGCAGTATTTTCTTCCATATAGTACAGCTATCTTGCAACAAAAGGAGAAAAACTTTTGGTCAAGAGGCTGATTCAAACGTGACTACAGGTACTTAATGTCTCGCAAATGAACAAACAAAAAAATTACTATTATAAAAAGATGTATGTATGGCTACGATTACAAAAGATGTTATAAAAGATGTATATGGCTATATCTATGGTTAGATATTAAGAGGAAGGTTTTCCACACAGAGGGTGGTGACGCACTGGAACAGGTTGCCCAAGGAGGCTGTGGATGCCCCATCCCTGGAGGCATTCAGGACCAGGCTGGATGTGGCTCTGGGCAGCCTGGTCTGGTGGTTGGCAACCCTGCTCATAGCAGGGGGTTGAAACTGGATGATCATTGTGGTCCTTTTCAACCCAGGCCATTCTATGATTCATGGCCCTCAGCCTTCCTTCAACTGGGAGAAAAAAACAGAGAAGTAAGCCTGATTTGACTACTGAAAATTCATTTTCTGTTTATCCACATTGAAAATGCTTACATATTTGCTTCAAGTTTCCCATAGTATCTAAACAGTCCTAATAAAAAAGCCACCTTGTACCAACTAATCAATGAATGAACTAAAAATTAGCTATCTGAGATAGCTCTCAGATCCTTACAAAGTGAAAAACCTCAAAAATCTTAATTTGGGACATTCTGAGTGGGAATTCACCAAGTATTACACAAAGCATAAGGCCAAACCTGAAAACCTGATCCTATTTGCTATTTTCATTTGCTGCCTGAAGTAAACTTAAAAACCTCAAAGCAAACCTCTTCAATGGCCACCATAAGGAACAAACATTAGTTGTAACAGTGGCATTGTTGGACCTTTCTAGAAAGGCAGTGAATTCCTTGTCTGACTTCTTCCCGTGCAAGGCAGGACGTGCCATGTCACAGGACCAAAATGAAGGTGGCATCCAGGCTGACTCAAGGCCCAGCTGAAGCAGTTGGTGGCCCTTCTGATTCTAAGCTCTGGGGCAGGGAGGAAGAATTTAAGTGTGCATTTCACTGATTCAAGAGAGGCTTATGGCACAACTGTATTTGGTCAGATGCAAACAGCTACACACTCTACAGCCTCCGCCAAAATACCTGGTGCCTTCATGTCTGTGCTTACTGCATTCTGTTTGTGCTTCAATCCAAGGGCAAAGATGTTTTTTATTGTTCTCCCATTACACTCAGATCAGTCAAGAAGTCTCAGTCATTTTGTCATTTTCCCTAGAGCGCACTCTTAGTAAGCCAACAGCAGTGCTGTAGACACCAAAACGTAATTACAAAAGCTGTTTACAGCTTAGAATCGTAACTGCTTAGATACCTTGGAGCAAGTTTTCAGTTCTGTCACTGCGAGGCTGGAACAGAATTATTGTTATTAATATATTTTAATATTATTATTAAAAATAAATTATAAATACGTTATATTTAACAGCACTTTCTTTCATTTCTCTGAACAAAAACACTGGATTCCTTTTTCAGGGTGTTACAGCTTGCTCTCTTTCTCATGTTCTTAATGGCTCAAAATTTATCCCACTGTAAAAATTTCGTCATGACTTGTTTTATAACTTACCACAGGAGTGGATTCAGTGCCTGAGCCGAAGAGTGCTTAAAAATCCAAACACTGTATGGTTAGAATATCTTTGATTATTCAAGAGAGCAAATGCTATATGTTAACAACAGCATACCAACTGCTACTTAATGAGCATGCAATCTTCAAGACAGAACAACAGTTATAAATATCCTTACTGTACAGTTATTAGTCTAGTAGTACTGAACCCTCCCCAGCAGAAAGAAAAAAAAAGATGTGAAATGCACCAGTCTCAACTTCATAAAGCATGAAGTCTAAAGCATTTTAAACTCAAAACACTTTCCAGGCAGAAGAGATGTTTGAACATCAAAAACACTGAATGAAATTGTCTTTCAGGTCCCTCCAAGAAAGCAAATCTTCCTGTCAATCCTTCAAAGCCCTCAATCCCACCAGCAAGCTGAGCCAGTAACAAAACAAATCTCACAAATGAAGTACATCGGAAATACAGCTGAGTGCTGAGCGGTGTAACTATCAGACAGACAAGAAGTTTGGTAAGCATGGAAACTTGCAACTCTGAAGGTCAGTAGATAAAGCAGTAACCGCAACATGTAAACAACAATTTGGGCTTTGATAACTCTACAGTAACATAGATAATTCAGTGAGAGCTATGGAAAATCGGAGTATTTTGCAACCACTTTCATCTTCATAATCTTGCCATAAATAGTTCATTCATGTAACATCCAGACTAGCGTTACAGAAGGGATGTACCATAAAATAACAACATTCGCACACAATCCAGATGCTCCTCTTTCCCATGAATGTACTGCTGGAGAGTTTAATGTTCATCAAGCTCATACTTGTCAAAGTCACAACCCCAAGAGCAAGAAGACAAGCTTTGAACAATGGGAGAAGAATGTCTTCAGCCTACACACTCATTACCCTAGTTTTATAATTCAGTGAAAACATGACTTCTTTTCTTTCCCTGTGAGTTTGATCTTGTTTCCGCAAGGCAGAATAATTTTAGCTTTTCTTTTGCACTACTGGCAACAAAAGAGGAGGGTGGTTTCTTGCAATGGCAAAAATGCATTTTAGGAGCAAAAAATATGGGGAACAAAAAAGAAAAAAGGAAGAAAAAAAAAAAAAAAAAAAAGGACACAGCTACCTGCTGTGCCCTACCTTCTATCCTCACTGACAACACCTGGGACTTAGAGAGCAGAGCAGGAACACTCCTGCAACCATATGACAGCAGCTCCCAGGACTGCCTCCTCCAGCACCACTTTTCCAGTTCTCCAGCAGGAAGCATCGCAGAGCATCCAGCATGAAGCAGCAGTGGTTAAAACAAAGCAGTGCCTCAGCAGTGCTCGCAGGGCAGGTTGTTAGATACTGTATGCATCTGTAGGATAGAAGAATGTTTCTTAAGGTGACCGTTAGAGTTCATTTATAGCTAAAGGGTGTTTAAATACTTCTTGATTTTATGTAAAACCATACAAACTTGTAGGAAAGTGGAACCCTGGGTGGTGGTTTTTTAATTTTTTGTTTGTTTGTTTGTTTTTTACAATCACATGCAGCACGTGCAAGAGAAAAGGCTTTGAAAGGCTAAAGCCATTGCTGCAAAGTAGTCTGGAGGCCTGACAAGCAGCATATGAGGCAATTTCTCCCATTTGTTCAGTTTTTTTTCCCCAAATCCCTTTGCATCCAGGCTACTTAGCACTGCTGCATCCAACGTGGGCATTCCTGGTGTTAAGACCTTACACAAGTCTGCCCCCGTATTCTCACTATTTAGTCAGGACTAGTAAAATCCCCCTACCTTCCAAAACAGATTCCTGCACCTGCTCAGCATGGCTTTCAGGATCCCAGAGCATTATTTGTGTTGCAGAACTAAGTGCTATGCTCTCACTCTCCTCTCCTACACTGAGCTCTGGGCTCAGAAAGCTGCCTGCTCTCTTCTAAACGAATCTGCCCTGACAGACGAGTTGGTGCCCTTCCATTTCACCTTGCGTGTCCTTTCCTAACGCCTTTCAAAGCAATAAAACTGGGGAAGTAACTCCTCGCCGTTCTATTACACGTGGTCTCCGTTAACACGAGCACCGCCTTTGCCGCAGGGGCCATCCGACCCCGACCAGTTCCTAGCGACCCGGCGGCACCTCATCTTCGCTCCGCCACACCTGACCTTCAGCCAGCAGCCCCTTCGAGAGCGAACTCCGCACACCGCGCAGTTTCAGAGGCAACCTGGCGGAAGGAAAACCCCGCGCCACGAAAGAGAGCGGCGCGAGATGCCGGCCCGCGGCCCGTTAAGCGACGGGCGCGGCGGCGCGGAGCCGGGGAACAAGGAGAGGCCGGAGCGCGCTGCCCGCCGGCCCCGCGGCGCCCCACGTGCGGCAGCGGGGCCGCGCCCGACGTGTGCGGGCGGCGGTGCTCGCGGGAGGCCCCGGGGCCGCAGCCGCCAGGCGGCTCACCCCGAGCGGCACCACCGCCCTCCGCGTTCACCTCGGATGACCTCGCTCCTCCTCGGTCGCTCCCGCCGGAGCCACCTGCGCGTGGGGTCTGCCCGGGCCGCCCTACCGCCCCGAGCCTCGCGGCGGATCTGTCCCTCCCCGCGCCGCGTGGCCGGGACTCAGCATCACCCCGGGTCGGCCGCGTGCCCGGCGCTCACCAGAAGAAGAGCCGGGAGCAGAGGTTGGCATCCTGCAGCGGGTTGGGTTTCTCCTCGCGGGGTACTGCTTCCATACCGACCGCCGCTCTGCGCCGCCTCGCGCCGCTCCAGCCCGCCGGCGGCAGCGCACGTCTCCAGGCGACTTCCCACCGCGGCAGCCGCCGCCGCTGTGCCGCCGGTCGGTGCTGTTTCCGGGACAGCCGGCGCTCCCGCCCCGGCCCTCCTCCAGCCCGCCCCGCAGGACGCCTCCTGCCGGCCCGGCTCCCCGCGCGCAGGCCGCGGCCGAGAGCTACCGGCAGCAGCGAGGGGAGGGAGCGGGCTGAGAGGGACCGCCGTGCCCTGCCAGGCGGCTCTTGCTCCCGTTGCTTGGGCCCGGCTCCGCTCCCTTCTGCCCGCCTTGGGAGACCCCTGTATGCCCCACAAGGCTCGAAGAAAGGCTTGAAACCGGCCGTACTTTGTATTGTGTTCCCGAGGCGAGGGGTCGCCGCGTTTGCCAGGCTGCAGCCGGGTGATGCTGCCCTCGCTGACGCTGCTCGTGCTGCCGGTGCTGGTCAGCGTGTACTGATTAAACTGCTGCTGGTGAAATGCCTTGCCGTCCTCACAGTGCCGCTGGCACCATGGGAGGCAAAAAAACACCTTCTGGGCCAGGAGCAAGGCCACCTGAATCATAGAATCAGAGTCTCATTACAGTTGGAAAAGACCACTAAGATCATCTAGTCCAACCATCAGCCCATGACCACCATGCCTGCTACCCCTCTCCTTCAATGCCACACCTACAGGTCACCTCCAGAGAGGGTGACTCAGCACTTTTTCGGAGAAGGACTTTTTCCTGATACCCAACCTCAATCTCCCCTGGCACAATTTCAGGCCATTCCCTCTCATCCTATCACTGTTAGCTGGGAGAAGAGGCTGACCCCCACCTCACCACATCCTCCCTTCAGATCACTGTAGTGAGCAATAAGGTCTTCCCCGAGCCTCATCTTCTCCAGACTGAAAAATCCCAATTCCCTCAATCGCTCTTCATAAGATTTGTGCTCCAGTCCCCTCATAGCTTCATTGCCCTTCTCTGGACATGCTCCAGGACCTCAATCTCTTTCTTGTAGAGAGGGGCCCAAAACTGAACATAGCACTCAAGGTATGGTGATGCATGGGCTTGTTTTGACCAAAGCACAGAACTTAGCTCTTGGTCTTGTTGAAGCTCATACAGTTGACTTCAGCCCATCGATCCAGCCTGTCCGGGTCCCTCTGAATGAGCTCACTGGGCTAAACCCCACCAGATGCACTCATTTTCACCTCAGTTCAGGACTGCAGTCTCAGGGGCTTGAGACGAGCCAGGCTGGTCTGAGGCAACAGCTCACCAATGCTGTCTGTAGTTCGACTGTGATTAGGAGAGTGGAGTGGTTCTAAACAGCTCTGCAGTTCCACAAGGTGGTGTGTCACAGAAGTCCTTGGAGTAACTAAAAAATTTAGCACCTTAATTGTTACTCTTTTCCAGTACTGTTGCCAATGGCCTGCCACAGGGGCTGTGACTGGAAGAAATAAATTGACAGAGGCCTAAGAAAATGGGAATGCAGTACAAGTATCTGAAGATAACAAAATAATATTTTTCTCTCCGTTACAAAAATAATGGTTTGAATGGATCTCCAGCGTGCTGTAGTGTCTCTTCAGTCTCACAGTCTGGCTGAGGCAGGCAGGGCCCTCTGTGTCCCCGTGTCCCAGCCCCTGCTCCAGCAGCACCACCCAGAGCAGGGTGCCCAGGCCCACAGCCAGGCGGTTCTGGAGAGCTGCAGGGAGGAGACCCCACAGCCTCTGGGCAGCCTGTGCCAGTGCTGCCAGTGCTCCGGCACCCGCACAGCACATACACATGGATATAACCCCCTGAGCTTTCTCTTCTCCAGGCTGAATAGTCCAGTCTCTCTTAGCCTTTGTGTACCTGCCCTCTGATCATTTTTGGCTCTTATTAGACTATTGCCAGTATGTTCGTGTCTCTTGTACTTGAGATCCCAGAACTTGATCCAGCGCTACAGGTGTGGTCTCACCAGTGCTGACTAGAGGGGAATGGTCACATCCCTCAGCTTGCTAGCAGTACTTTTCCTAACTTCCTCCAGAATGTTGTTAGCCTTGTAGCAAGGCCCCACTGTTAACTCACGTGCAACTTGGTATCCATGAGGACACTTTAATCCTTTTACTTCCAAGCTGCTTCACAGGCCATAGAATGGCCTGGGTTAAAAAGGATCACAATGATCATCCAGTTTCAACCCCCCTGCTGTGGGTGGGGCCACCAACCACCAGACCAGGCTGCCCAGAGCCACATCCAGCCTGGCCTTGAATGCCCCCAGGGATGGGGCATCCACAGCCTCCTTGGGCAACCTGTTCCAGTGCATCACCACCCTCTGAGTGAGAAAACTTCTTCCTAATATCTAACCTAAACCTCCCCTGTCTCAGTTTAAAACCATTCCCCTTTGTCCTATCACTATCCACCCTTGTAAACACTCGTTCCCCTTCCTGTTGTTATGCTCCCTTTAAGAACTGAAAGGCCACAATGAGGTCTCCCCAGAGCCTTCTCTTCTCTAAGCTAAGCAATCCCAGTTCCCTCCATGTTTCCTCACAGCAGAGGTGCTCCAGCCCTCTGATCATCTTAGTGGTCCTCCTCTGGACCTGCTCCAAGAGCTCCATGTCCTTCCTGTACTGGGGGCTCCAGGCCTGGATGCAGTACTCCAGATGGGGCCTCACAAGAGCTGAGTGTAGGGAGACAATCACCTCCCTCTCCCTACTGGCCACCCCTCTTTTTAATGCAGCCCAGGATATAGCCTTCTGGACTGCATACACTGCTGAATCATGTCCAGCTTCTCACTTCAGAGTGAGCCCCCATCATGTTCTGGTGCATGGATTTGTTCCTCTCCACATTCAGGATTTTGCATTTCTTGTTGAATTTCATGAGGTTTCTGTCAGCCCATTTCACCACCCCGCCCAGGTCCATACAGATGGCAGTACAGCCCCCTGGTGTCTCATCCACTCCAGTACTGACCTCTGGGACACACTACTAGTTACTGGCTTCTAACTAGACCTGGTGCAACTAATCTCAACTCTAGTCTGCTAGACTGCCTCCCCTCCAGCTGAGGCAGCTGGAAGACTAGCACTGTACATACATTCTCCTTGTTTATCTTTTGCCCTCAGAAGCATCCAGCCCTATCTCTTCCTACTGAAATGCCTTATCAGTGAAACAATTAACAGGGCTGGCATCAGACCTCAGACCGTTAATATAGTTCACACGTTGTTATAAAGGAAGGACAGGATCTGAGCTGTACAGTATTACTGAAGAAAGCACATCAGTTCATGCTTGCAAGAATGTCAAAACAACTGCAAGCCAAACAAATCAAGCTTAAGCTTGCTGTCAGTAAGCATGGACAAAACTGGCAGCAGAATACATTGAGCATATCCAGTGTGCCACAGAATTTTACAAGCAATAAAGTAGTGTGATTTTCAACAACTGTCTATAGATCCTTGCAAATTAGCACAAGGAAAAAGTGTGGTGATTTGAAAGGACAGGCTTTAACAAGATAGTTCTCATGTATTCCCTGGTCTTCCAAAACATACAAACTCTGCCCAACAGCAAACTCTGGCAGGTTTGGATTTCTGCAAAGCAAGTTTGTCCAAACAGATCTTCATGAGAGAATTAAATGTGTGACAGCCCAATGGATGTCCCATAATTTCAGGTAGAAAGAAAAAGAAAGATGTAAATCTTGAAACTGGCTTCTACTCCTGAAGCATTACCTTTGTGAAATAAAGTACCAGGCCAGTAATACTGCAATGAAAGATTATCCAAACTTTTCTTAGTTTGGACTGGAACAACTGGTCTATGAACAAGTAATTTTTTTAATGAACAGAGTTATCAGTATTAAAGTAAAATATCAAAGTAATTATATCCAAGATCATTGTAATGGCAGGAAAAGGGCAAAGAAGAAACCTTAAGTAAAATTCTTTGCCAGCATTATCAGTAACAAACATTGATGCTACTGAATTTTAACACAGAGTTAGGTAGCAATTAAAACAGCAACAGGGATGCTCAAGAAAATCTGAGACTGCACACAGTTAAGAGGAAAAATAACACCATAATGGAATTTATAATCTCCATTTTATTTTAGGGGAAAAGAAAAGCAACTGCCAATCTATCTAGTGAATGTTTTGCTGTGATAGCACAATGCTCAGAACATGGAAAGTACAAGATATATAAGCAAACTAATTAAGGTGTGACTTACTAAATCTATAATGTCAGTGCAGCAAAGCCAGCTGCTCAAATAAGGTAATAGCCAAACTAAGCCAGCGGCATCTAGATCACACCTATTAGTCATATTTATTGCCCTGGGGTAATCAATTAGTTTCACAGCAGATGTCACAAACTGACAGACACATAAGGCTCCGTGTTTCTATAGTGCACAAGAAGGACAACGCTTGCTAAATGAACACCTGTATGATGTGCAGGCTTCAGCCCTCTTTGATCTACTCTCTTTTTCTGAATGCTTCCAGGCGGACAAGTTTCTTCATGTGTGTGTTCAGTGGTGCTCACCGCTTGAGTACAAGTGGTTAACAAACATCTGCTTTTCACAAAGCCCTCACAGCATAATCGGGTGGTTTAATTTTCAAATGATGAATAAAAGCATGTGGATTTTAGATGAAGTATAGGCGCTCATTTTGATTATGCAATATGAACCTAAAGCTTAATATTTCAGAGGATGTAGTACTAGAACCCTTCTTGTTCGGGCAAGTTCCCATTGATTTCAGCACTGATCAGTTTCTACAAAATGCTCTCCGGGACCTCAAGGCAGGTATCCAGAACATCAAAAGCACATGTGACTGAGTATCACATGTGAGTTTGAAAACTCTGGGTAAAGAATTTGCTGAGCATCATGTGGCATCAAGTGAGGAAATAAGGACAGAAACATTTCCAAAGCTGTTTGAAAGACACTTGGTGGAATAGCTCCCCAAAGACAAGCTACAACAGCAGAATGTAAAGGCTTTACAACAGTGCATTGTTTAATTTTTTTGAAGGAAGCCAGACAGAAATGCACTCTGTATGCCTGCCTGACAAGCCAATAAGGTAGCCTTGTCTCCTGCCATGCCACAAACAAGAAAGAGG